AGAGAGAATATTAGTATGAGATGAAATATGCCTCAAAAGTAACACATTGTTTCATGCTAGGCTTTGCAACTTTATTTTTTGGCTTAGTTTAGTTCCAAATGTAGATTCTGAAGTTACTCACTAAATTTAGCCCTGAGTGGAGACAGCAAGGAGAATGCTCTGTGTTTTTGACTTTTCAATCAAGGAACATGATGACTGAGCAGATTTCTTTTTCCAATCTCTATTTCTGCTGATGTTTATTTTTCATTTCGTTGATTATCCATTGAAATTATTTCCTGATTCTGAAAAGGAAAGTACAGACTAAAATTTGTGTAGATAAAATAAGATTACTAAATGTGTTCATTAATTTCAATAATTCCCCTTTATTTCTTAATTATGCCTGGTGTTAATTTCTCTGTGCTTTCTTTAGCTTCAGAAATGTTTTTTCTATTCCTATGATAAATATTTCCATTAATCATATTTGGAACCCTTTTAACCCATATTGCAGGAATCATTCTCTGAAGTCTATTAATTAAAAAAAATAGATCATCTCAACTCGGAACCATATATGTAGATCATTTTATGAATTATATTAACATAAATTATTTACATGATATATATATTTACTGAATTTAAATAGGTTAGTCAAGATTCACTAGCAAGATTTCCACAATGCTCAGATCCAGGAGCAATATGTGATAGAGAATTCAGTTAAGACTGCAAAATTTTGTGGAGTAGTAAGAGAAAATGTTGAGGAGTACTGGGAACATTCTGGACCCACATCCAGACTCAACCAGAGACTTGGATGTGGCATACGCTTACAAACATAATGACATAGAATATGACAAAAACAAAAACACTGTGGATCCCCCTAGGTAGGAATACAAGCTAGATATTTTTCATGAGTTATATCCAGATTCTGTTTATCTCTTGTGAAATTACAATATGTGTCATTTGAAAAAGGATAATAGAATAGATCTTGTGCCATTAGATGAGACTGCAAATATGTAATGCACGAAAGCACTTTGGTGTAGGACTGGCAATTATTTGCCACTGTTACAGACAAATAACAAGCGCAGGCTCATGACACACGTCTGCTTGTAAAGGCTTCAGCAACCACAGGTAGCATGATGGAATTAAAACTGCAGTCCAGTGTCTGACTACAAAGGCCTTTATCTGGACACAGAAGTATCGCTACTGTAATCAGTGCCTTTGATCCTTGGCCATTGGATGAGAAAATCAAGATGACAAAATAAATACCTTAAGTTTATGATATGTATTCCTCTCAATGCTCTTCTTGCAACTGGCCTTTTTCCCTGTCATCTTTTCATTCAGTTGTTTCACACGTGCCTGATGACTCTTCTCTTTCTGTTCAAACTTGCTTTCCATTTCCTCTATTTTGGCTTCATACTGTGCAGATTTAGTGTTTGCCTTTTCCACTAAGGATGAAAAAAAGAAGAAAAATGATGTAGGATTACTGTGTTGCCTCTTTCTTCTTGAAATGTATTTGTTATGTTATACTTGATAGAAGAAATTCCTGGACAATAATTTCTTTAGGGTAACCATATTGCCCCTGAAAATTTTGCCACACTGTGAATAGTTGAGGAACCGAGGAAGGGGGCACAGGTAACCAAAATTTAGCTGTGTGTTCTGGGAAGTTACTGAGGTGCCTCTTTCAAACACCCTTATGGCCAAGCATAGTTGCACATCCACCTGGTTTTCATCTACACAGCACTTATGTTTTTATTCAGTAAACATGTTGAGGAGTGTATTAGATCACATATGTTCTAGGTTACATCAAACAGAGTACACTCAACTAATATTTGAGAAACCAATTGAATTTTCAGATTAATCATTAGGGTACCACTCTATTACAACTGGAAATTTGATGTTTCCAAGTACAGAAGCCACTAGCTGTTGCTTAAGCAGAAACACTAATTTATCAGTTTAGGCTTCACGCTGGCTGTAAGGAGAGCCTGGATCCAAGATTACAAACAATGTCATCCATTTTTTCTCTGTTTGTCACTTCCTCTTATCCCCACAATTCCCTCCATTCTTCTTCCACCTCCATCTCTCTGATCTGCTTACTCCACGACAACTTCATGCTCCAGCAAACTCAGCCCTTGTGGAACCACAACACCCACAGCTCCAGACTTAGAGTCCTCACTCTAAACCAACATGGAATCTCTACTTCACAGTGTCTATATCACTCCCCCTAAAAAGGACGCTGCTGAGTGGGGTGCTCTGATTGTCCAGCTTAGCCTGTGCCTGCCCCTGTGACTGGGAGTCTTGACTACCAGGCAGAGCAGGGCCAGGAGGAGCAATTCCTAGGGAAAACATGGTGGGCACACAAACGGGAACATTTGTGCACAGCCATTTCCTGATACTAACTCTGCTCTCTGGAATCTAAGGCTGATGAGGTTCTGAGGACGTACTTGAGCTCCAAGCAGTCTATGATTGATGCAATTCTAAAGACAGACGAAGCTCTCACAATAAAGGAAAGGGAGGCTGAAGGTAAGGAGTAAGCCAAGATACTTGATATGCACAAAAGGTCTTAAAAGTTTAAATGTTTTTTCAAGTAAAACTGTGATTATTAAACTAGAATGAAAACCATAAAAATAATTGTAACTCTTGAAGTCATTCTGAGAGTGACGTAGGCAGTCAATTACATTATAGTTACCCCTAAAGAAAAATGTTTCCAGGAAATTTCTTCTATCAAATGTCAACAATAACAAGTAAATGTGGAAGGAAGAAGAAGGAAATTCTGTGTCTTGCTAGTTGGGGCCAGTATAACAGAATATCATAAACAGGTAGCTAAAGCAACCAAAATTTGTGTCACACAGTTTGTAGGCAGGCAGCTGAGATCAGGCTGCGAGCGTTGGCAAGTTTTTCCTGATTAGGCCCTCTTTTCGGATTACAGATGGCTGCTTTCTTGCTGTATCCTTACAATGGATGGTGGAAAGAGTGAGCTCTAGTCTCCTCAAATTCTCCTGAGAACACTAATCCCATTATTGGAGCTCTACTCTCATGATCGTGTATAAATGTAATTAGCTCACCAAGGCAAACCTATATAAACTTTCTCTTTTTTCACTTTTCCTCAGTGGAACGTATAAAAGCTGAATCTGCAAAGGAGACTTCAAAACGGTTGCAGGAAATGCAACAGATAAACAAGCAGATGATGGAACAGAGAGAAAAGAGTTATCAGGAGCAAATACAACAATTGAATGAGAAGATGGAGAATGACAGGGCCCATTTGTTGGCAGAGCATGAGAGGAATGTAGCTCATAAGCTTCAGGTATCCAATTGTGCCATTTATTTTATCTTTCACTGTACAGAATTAAAAGCACAGTATAGAGCTTAGAGTATGTAGAAAAAGGAATTTTCTAGCCCATATACTATTAGGCACTTTCATTCCCTTACTCTGTCTAGCCATGGTCATCTCTAATTACTAAAAGCAATTTGCTTACAGAATGAAACCCCATGAAATCCACTTTATTAAATCACTACTAAACAGTAGCTATTCACTGCCAATCTTTGCATACATATTTTATAGGCATTCTGTAGTTGATTTTTGGCTAATGGAACAGGAACTATTTTATCTTCATTTTTTAAATAAGAAAATTATAATTTAATTAGTTTTAGTAAACTTTCTAGATCATAACTCATGAAAATGTGTCTGGCCTGGGAGAGAGTAATTTTTTTCCCATATCTATTAGCACTTTATCTTTGGAAGCACCCTAATGAATAGGGAGACAAATAACCACATAGCACATTGTTTAAGCTTCCAGGTTTATTCCAGGGTTTATGTGTATCCTGGAATGTGCCAGAGCTTTGAGGCCACATGGAGAGTCAGACTGGGAGTTAACAAAATCTCTGGCCACAGCTGAGCATCACTTTTGCCAGTGGTCAACATTATTCCAGGATCTTCCTGTTGCTTGGCCCCACACAGAGTGCATGTTGAGTCTGCATGTAAGCCCAGAGATGCCCTATGGGCCATAGCAATCCCTGATCTCCTCAGTATTAGTATTTCCTCGTACTGGTCTCACTGAAATTTGAGAGCTTATTTAGAATTCCCTCATCAGACAGCTCCTTCGATTCTGATATTCATGTAGGAAATATTCCTTTGAATTTCAAATGTTCTTCTGGAGTATGCTTATGGGAAATCCACAGTATATAAGTGAAAGTTGAAACAAACAAAACATTGACAATTCAGATTGGATAACTACTTTCAATGTGGAATCAAAAATCTCAGGATGGAATTCTGTGGCAAAAATATTTTAGGTGTTATAAATAGGAAAAATATATACTTAACCTACAGAAGAAAAATTCAAGAAAAATTATAGCAAGGATAGGTGACTCCAGAGAGACAAAATGGGATTTTAGGAGGACAGAATTGAAGAAAGAATGTCAAAGCTCTTAAGGAATTATTGCAAGTACTAAAAGAAGAATTAACATAAAAATTAGGTGACAAATTTAGTAATCTTATCATTTTCTGTACTAAGTTCAGTATTTCCAGGCACTATTCCAAATCTATTAATTGTCTGAATGTCAGACCAGAAATGCCCTCCAGACACCAGAAGTCCTGATGTTCTCAATGGTTTTTTCTTACTATGCTTACCAAAAGTTTGCAGACTTATACTGATTTCACCATCAGATATTTCCCCTGCTTCTCAGCATCATATGTAAATCTTAGCAATATTCCTATTAGCCATGACTCTGGAACAAATATCCATATGTGTGAAAATCCACATTATATAGAATGAGAGTTGAAGGGGAAAAAGTGTGGCAATTCTACACAATTATTGTGTATAATTGGTAGTTCAAGGATCCCATAGAGGAATTCTAGAGAAACAATATTTCAGGGATGATATGAATGAAAGACATCTGAAGATAGAGAAAAAGTCCTAGAAAAATTAAAAACAAGCTTAGGATCCTTAAGAAAGACTGACCCAATGGAAGATAAGGGAGGACGAAATTCAAGAAATAATATCAAAATCTATTAGGAGATTAATTTAAGGAATGAAAGGAAAACTTATTTAGTAATTAATGAACAATTTCTATAAAATTAGTACATGCCAAGCCACTTTCATTATCCTCTTTCCCTCTTTAGGAACAAGAACAACAGCTCAAGGATAAAACTACAGAAGAGAAAAGAAAATATCAGAAAGAAATCCAGGAAATGGAGATGAGAAACAGAGAAATGAACCTATCATGTATTATAATCTAAAAATACAAGATCAAAATTTTCCTATCACACAGCCTGTGACCAGGGCACAAGTGCAATGATCAATTTCAAAGATCCAAACAATTGCCACTGGAATTGATATTATGATCACTATACTTACATTGATCCATAAATTTTACCTAGATGAAGTTGAAATGGGAAGGAACTGAGTTACCTACTAAGGCTATTTATTTCATGCTTATTGTAGTAATGATTTCAATTATCTTTAACTGGATACTGTACATCAACTCATTCACATTTCCTCTGGAGAGTTTATGTTAATAAATGATGTAATAAGTATGCCATTTACAATAGAGAGATATCAGGCAGACACTGTTTAGGGCAAAATTTTTCTTCCTCATCCACACCACAGTTCTAGACACCCTCAGCCCCATGTTCTTCTTTAAGGGTTTATTCATGCCCTGGGATGAATGCTGTGAACATAGAGGAATTAGATTTATAGTGAATAAGAATTTTGCTCATGGTTCAGCATCACTCCTAAGTGGTCAATAAGTTACATTTCTTCTAAGCTAAAGGGAGATTTGACTTCCCATTACTTTCTAAGACAACTGACTGGGTTTAGTGTGTAGAGAGTGTACAGTTTACAGCATGGTGGAAGCTTCACAGTCTATAGGCAGTTATGGTTCTCCTGGGCCCTGCCAAGGATGTGCTCTTTTCTGTGAAGAGTGGATATGTAATGAAAGGGTCAAACTGCTCTGTTGTTAAAAGCTCACTGGTTAATTACTGCCCTAGCCTCAGTCCTATGTTGGATCTTTAAAGTTAATCAAGAATGGTAAAATTGTATCTTTACTCCTGAACAACTATTACAGTGTGGCAAAATTTTTCAGGGGCAATATGGTTACCCTAAAGAAATTATTGTCCCAGGGAATTTCTTCTATCAAGTATAACATAACAAATACATTTCAAGAAGAAAGAGGCAACACAGTAATCCTACATCATTTTTCTTCTTTTTTTCATCCTTAGTGGAAAAGGCAAACACTAAATCTGCACAGTATGAAGCCAAAATAGAGGAAATGGAAAGCAAGTTTGAACAGAAAGAGAAGAGTCATCAGGCACGTGTGAAACAACTGAATGAAAAGATGGACAGGGAAAAGGCCCAGTTGCAAGAAGAGCATGAGAGGAATACATATCATAAACTTAAGGTATTTAATTTTGTTATCTTGATTTTCTCATCCAATGGCCAAGGATCAAAGGCACTGATTACAGGTTAGCATACTTCTTGGTCCAAATAAAGGCCCTTTGTAGTCAGACACTGGACTGCAGTTTTAATTCCCATCAATGCCTACCTGTGGTTGCTGAAGGCCTTTTACAAGCAGACCGTGTGCCATAGAGCCTGCACTTGTTATTTGCTGTAACAGTGGCAAATAATTGCCAAGTCCTACACAAAGTGCTTTACGTGCATTACATATTTGCGGTCTCATCTAATGGCACAAGATCTATTCTATTATCCTTTTTCAAATGAGAATATTGTAATTTCACAAGAGATAAGACAGAATTCTGGGATATAACTCATGGAAAAATATCTAGCTTGTATTTCCTACCTAGGGGGATCCACAGTGTTTTTGTTTTTGTCATATTCTATGTCATTATGTTTGTAAGCGTATGCCACATCCAAGTCTCTGTTGAGTCTGGATGTGGGTCCAGAAATGTTCCCAGTACTCCTCAACATTTTTCTCTTACTACTCCCACAAAAATTTTGCAGTCTTAACTGAATTCTCTATCACATATTGCTCCTGAATCTGAGCATCTTGTGGAAATCTTGCTAGTGAATCTTGACTAACCTATTTAAATTCATGTAAATATATATATTCATGTAAATAATTTTATGTTAATATAACTCATAAAATATCTACATTATATGGTTCCGAGTTGAGATGATATTTTTTTAAAATTAATAGACTTCAGAGAATGATTTCCTGAATATGGGTTAAAAGGGCTCCAAATAGATTAATGGAAAATATTATCATAGGGAATAGAGACAAAACATTTCTGAAGCTAAAGAAAGCACAGAGAAATTAACACCAGGCATAATTAAGAAATAAAGGGGGAACTTATTTGACAATTAATGAACACATTTAGTAATCTTATTTTATTCTACACAAATTTTAGTCTGTACTTTCCCTTTTCAGAATCAGGAAAATAATTTCAATGGGATAATCAACGAAATGAAAAATAAACATCAGCAAGAAATAGAGGATTGGAAAAAGAAATCTGCTCAGTCATCATGTTCCTTGATGTGAAAAGTCAAAAACACAGAGCATTCTCCTTGCTGTCTCCACTCAGGGCATAAATTTAGTGAGTAACTTCAGAAATTCTCACATTTGGAACTAAACTAAGCCCAAAATAATAAAGTTTGCAAAGCCTAAGCATGAAAGCAATGTGTTACTTTTTTGAGGGCATATATTTCATACTTAATTCATACTATTCATGATTAATGTAATGTTGAGCTAGGTGTTATTAGAATAAATGTACATTTACAATAGGAGTTTTGTATTATATGATTGAGATGCATTTATAACTGTCCAAACTCAAGAGATGTATCAGGCAGGTTCTGTTTAGTATAAACTTTTCAGACTCAGCCATACCATTCTTCCAGATTTCCTCAGATGAATATTTTTACGAAAAAGTTTACTTTTGTCCTCACATTGAGTTGGAGTGTTAAATACCTTAAAAGACCTACAATATAACTCCATCCTAATCTCTGAATTTCTACTCTGACATCACTTCATGAAAGACACTGAGGGCAAAATGCCTAGCTAGGAAGGAGAAGAAAATAGAAGGATAAAAATCAAGAATAACTTAATAATATATACATAGGAACCTACCAGAAACTTTTTAGAAAGTATATCCAACAACGTGCCTAATGCAATCAACAGAATCCACTCAGATTTTAAGTAAAAGTTAATTTTACATTTATTTCTATTTGGTAGAATAGATTATCCAGGATCCAACTCCAGACTTTATAGCTATTCAGCCAAGAACAATAGCACACATATAGGTCCAGCATCTCAAGTGAAAATCTCACAGCTACTACCACTTGGAACCCAAATCACTGGATCAAATGCCAGAAAATCCATCAATCTCAGCTCTGAGGACCAGAATCTCTGTATCTGTGTATTTAAAGTACACAAATTCCTCCATGATTAGTAGCAACACATCTGCTCACGTCTCCTTCTAAGTCTAATAGAGGTTCATCTTCTTGACAAGATCTAAATGCCTTTGTGAGGGTCTGGGAATGAGGGTGTCTGTCTTCTATATAGGAAGTAGAACTTCATACATTGGAAAATGTCCATCCACATTAAGGTTATCCAATCCAGTTCAGGTGGGTCACTTGTGCAGGCTGGCCACATTATGGTGGGAGGTAACTAAGGGCTATTACTAGTATTTTCATGCACATCAAATACATTATTTCTAATGTTTATCTTTGCCGTGATCTCTTAATATTCTTTATATTTTTTCCTTCACTAATTTCAAGTTGTACACTTTATTAACATGGTTTATGATATGCTTTATTTCTAAGCATCATACTTAAGAAAGTCTTAAACAAACTATAGAGAAGTGACTTTAACAAGAATGGGAAAGTAAGAGTGTTAGTAGATCACCCCTCACCTAAAAATGAAAATGTGGTTAAAACTATTAAAACCAACTTTATCAGAACTCTGAAAAATATTCAAGACCAAATGTAGGAGAATGAAACTGAATCTCTATCTCTCACCATATAAAAAAGTTAACCCCCAAAGTATTAAAGACTTCAATGTAAGACCTGAAACTATAAAAATCAGCAAGAAAACCGAGGAGAAACTTCTGAACATTGGCTAGGCAAATAATTTATGACTAAGACTCCAAAACAAATGTAAAACAAAAACAAATAAATGGGACTTATTAAATTAGATAGCTTTTACACAGCAAAAAAGAAAAAAATGACAATAATAATCAAGGCTAAATAGATAACCTACAGAATGGAAGAAATTATTGACCAACTATAGTTCTAATGAAGGGCTAATATCTAGAATCTACTGGAACCTCAAATAATATGTAGGAAAAAATAAGAAAAAAACAAATAACTCCATTAAAAAGTAGACAAATGATATGAACTGATATGTTTCAAAAGAAGACATACAAATGACCAAGAAACATATGAAAAATTGCTCACCATCAGGGAAATACAAATTAAAAGCACAATGAGATACCACCTGATGCCAGTCAGAATAACCATTATTAAAAAGTCAAAACAAAAGGAGAAAAAATGGCAGAGTAAAGGTAACCCCCCGGATTCCTGCTCCTAGAGAAAAAGGCATAGACGTTGGTCTCCTACACACAAATGGATCTCTCCCTCACAAGAACAGCATCGTGAATTGGCAGAGGTTCAGGGTGAGACTCTCAAAAACGGAAAACAACAAGGTGAATGGGTGATAAGATCATGTTCTCTGAAGAATGCAAAACAAACAATAGGGCACAGAGCGTGGGAGGACTCCAGCCGCCAGGCCAGGGAGTGAAGTGGGATCAGACCCACAGGAGAACTTCTTGCTTCCCCATTGACCTTCACACCCACTCAGCCAGGGATCTGCCTGAAGTTGGTGCAAAATAACGGCAGAAGTAGTGGGAGCTGTAGAAAGTGGTCATTAGCGGAAAGCACTGTGAACACCCGGAGCTCCGTGCTAGGATGTCACCAAGTGGGAAGAAAACCGGTCTGAAATGCTAGGGAGGCAATTAGATATCTTGTCTCTGGTAACCAGTGGGGTCAGTCCTACAGAGGTGTTCACTAAGTCGGGAACTCTAAGCTTGAACCACCTCGGGGGAATAGGCCTGCCCAGGGTGCATCAGTAAGAGCAAGAGATATGGCTGTACAGGCATGAGTTGGTGGGAAGGTGGTATAAAGGAGGCAACAGGCATCCTGGTCAGATGAGCCAGCTCCCCAATTCGGCACCTGCCATCTCCCGAACAGTTGCCCCCAGAGCTGGTACTCTGAGTGGGTGGGCTGTTGCCATTGTGGGGGTCCACAACCCAGCCACCATGGTGTGATACAGTGTGACAGGCAGATCCCCTCCCCCAGCCCAGAGACTCAATTGACAAACTCCTCCCTTACACAATCTATGATCAACTAGCCAGGCCTGTCTGGATTGATGAACTCTGAACTCTAGTACTGAGGAGGCTAAAGCCAATAGGAGTTACAACCGCTGGGGTGCCAGGGTGCTGGGCAGACTAGAGAGCTACCTCCTCCCCCTAGCCTGCATCTTTCTGGCCAAAAGTGGTAGGCTCCACCCCTAGAGGCAGGGTGAGACAAGAAAAGCCACTTTCCCCCGATCTAGGGTGAATCTGCCGGGCCTTGGCACATATCAATAGCTGACAGCCTAATGACTTTGCTATCCAGACCAGATTAGGTCACCCAGTTGATCAAAATGCAGAGGCTGAATCTCCTCCCCCAGTCAGCTGCCAACTGTCACGGCAGTGGTCAAGGAACAAATCCCCCTACAAGTGGCCACAATAGGTTCCACAAGTAACCCCTACCATCAGGGGTAGCCTCCCAAGTGTGGTGGAAGAGTTCTGCACAGTGGCAGATCAAGAAACCATAGAAGGGAGGATGCCCAGGTTGCCTCCTTTGTATACCACCCCCAGAAATAGTGTATACACAGAGTCTGTTATGTATCATACAAAAAAACCCCAGCTGATCCAGATGGGGAGGGCTCAGTGAAAGAATTCTGCATCTGTGAAGAATCAAACTGAAAACACTCCTCCAAAGAGATACAACAGCTCTCAAGCAACAGATATTAACCAAACCCAAAACACTAATGACAGAAGAAGAATTTCAAAATTTGATTGTAAGAAAGCTCAATGATATGCAAGAAAGAATGGATAACCAACACAAAGAAACCACAAAAATAAATCCAGGACTTGGAAGAAAAATTCACTAAAGAAATCGAGATCTTAAAGAAAAATTAATCCGATCTCCTAGAAATGAAGAATTTATTAAGGGAACTACAAAACACAGTGGAAATCCTCAAAAATAGGGTGGACCAAACAGAAGAAAGAATCTCAGAGATTGAAGATGACACCTTCAAATCAAAAAAGTTAATCACAAAGATAAAGCAGAAAAATAAGAGACATGAGAAAAGATTAAAAGAATTGTGGGATTATATGAACAATTATTACCTGAGTGTATTATGGATTCCAGAAGGGCAGAAAGAAAAAAATGCAAGGGTTGGATAAGGTATTTGAAGACACAATTGATGAAAATTTCCCAGGTCTTGCTAAAAAGCTAGATATCAAAGTAAAAGAAGCTCAAAGGACCCCTGGGAGATACAATGCAAACAGAAAAACACCACAACATGTAGTCATCAGACTAACCAAAATATCAACAAAAGAGACCCTTTTATAAGCTGTAAGGTGAAAGAAGCAAGTTACATACAAAGGAAAGCAGATTTGAATAATGTCAGACTTCTCAACTGAAACCTTACAAGCAAGGAGAGACTGGGGCCCCATTCTCACTCTTCTAAAACAGAATAATGACCAGCGTAGAATCTTGTACCCTGAAAAACTAAGTTTTATGTATGATGAAGAAATAAAGACATTCTCAGATAAGCAAAGACTGAGGGAATTCACCAAGACAAAACCAGCCCTACAAGAAGTACTCAAAACAGTGTTACACACGGATGAGCATAATAAATACTCATGAATGTAAAAACACTGAAAAGCTAAAGATTAAAGGCCAGATATCACAATGGTCAAAGGAGAAAACAAAGCAACAAAGTTCAACCCAACAGAATGAACATAAATCTGCCCCACCTATCAGTTATCTCAATACATGTGAATGGCTTGAACTCTCCACTCAAGAGACATAGGTTGGCTGAATGGATAAAAAAATACAAGCCATGTATCAGCTGTCTTCAGAAAACACACCTAATCTGCAAGTATACATATAGACTAAAAATAAAGGGGTGGAGATTAGTATTTCAAGCTAATGGAAGTGAAAAAAAGGCTGGCGTGGCAGTTCTGATTTCAGATAATGTAGTTTTTAAACCAACAAAGTAGTGAAAGACAAAGAGGGTCATTATATAATGGTGAAGGACATAGTTTAATAAGAAGAGATAATAATTTTAAATATATATGCACCCAACTTAGGTGCACCCAGATTCATAAAGCAACCCTTATTGGATCTAAGCAAATTGAAAAACAGCAACCCCATAATAGCCAGAGATTTCAACACCCCACTAATAGCACAGGACAGAGCCTCCAAACAGAAAAATAATAAATAAATAAATAAATAATAGACTTAAACAACACTCTAGAACAATTGGGCCTGACTGACATTTACAGGACATTCTAGCCAAAATCCACTGAATGCACATTCTTCTCATCAGCTCATGGGACATTCTCTAAGAT